ATGTTTGAATCCTTTCAATGACTTGATACTACCACTACTCCAAGTGATTACCAAGTTCATTACAAAGAGCAAAAAAAAATTTCTTTGGGGATATCACAAAGTTTCGTTCGGATTGTATCAAAAGCATAAACATACTACCACCATGCAACAATGTAACACCTGCTCTCTACTACTATTCAGATAATGCATACTATGCAAATTATAGACATACATAGCGTATGGCAGATAGTGGGCTCAACTTTTCTTTACCAAAATATAATTTTCTACATATACAAAGTACTCTATATTAAAAACTTTCTACTTAATATAAAATATCATAACTGGTGGACAGTAGTGCCAATACTCTCCACTCCTGCATCCATACACAGCTGCTCCTAATTCCTGCAAAACAAGAAAAACAGTGGGGTGAGCACAACAATGCTTAGTAAGTAAATCCTCGATACCGTCACCACAACTCACTCTTGGGTTCTTTCCTTACTCTACGTTTCTATTTCTAATTCACTATTTTTCTCTTTCTTTCTAATACTTTTATTCTCCTTTAACTCTGTTCTGCTCTTTTATTTTTCTTTCTCTTTTCTCATTCTCTTTTCTTCTTCTTTATGCTTATACCATGAAGGAAATCATGGTTCTCTCTTATTCTTATCATACTCACCATGAAGGAAAATCAGGTCTCTCTTGTGCTCATTATACTCTACTAACCATGGAAGAATACATGGTGCATGCATGTATGAGATGTATATGCAATTAAGGCAAAAGAACTGCATGTTTCTTTCTTCTACTCTCTATTCTTACTAGCTCAAAACCTCTCATTCTTTCTCATACTCTCTCTCTCTATCTCATTCTTTCTCAAGCTTTCTCATTCTCTCACTATTCATTCTCATTTCTCATAATTATTTCTACTAACTCCGCTCTTGAGTGTCACGGCCCCATCTTACGGAGGCACGGCCGGGACTTCTCCCGCTCTATGTGACTTCTACTGATTCTCTTTCTGTCTCTCTTTCTCATACTCTTTTCTGTTACTTCCTGCTGTAGGTCAACGACCTCATCTTACCGGAGGCACGGCTAGGTACTCATCCCACTCTTCGTAACCCTACTCATGTCTTCTTTACTCTTTCTCATGTGCTCATCTTCCTCACTTGCATGTCACGACCTTATCTTACGGAGGCACGGCTGGGTGGAGATCAAAAGCAACAACTCATCTTCGTGACTTCTACTCGTTCTCTGCTGATCGGACTTGGTCATGCATGGATTCGGAACCCTTGGCCATGTGAGTGGATTCTCTCTCTGTTTATCTCTGAATGTCACGGCCCCTTCTTATCGGAGGCACGGCTGGGGATCCCAAAGCACCCACTCTCGTGACGGTCACGGCCCCATCTTACCGAAGGCACGGCTGGGGATCACACAAGCACCCACTCTCGTGACTCTACTCATCACTCACGGGTTTCCCATCGCACAACCTACTTATTTCTTCTGTAGCACTTTTCTCTCTTTATTCGCTAGTGCTCAACCTCTCTTCTCTTTACTATCAGAGTGTTCTCATTCTCTTTACTCGTAAGAGTTTATATCTTAACATTCTCTACTTTTTCTCACTCAAACTATTACTCATAGTATAGCTTATACTCAAAATTCTCTACTCTTAAGCTAGTACTCATAAGGTAGCTCATACTCAACATTCTCTATTCTTTCCAAACTACTTCTCAATGCACAATTAATGCATATGGATGGTTTTAACTCATTAATGCACTTTTGAAATGCCAAATGCAATATTGCTCCAAAATCGTATTCTGCACAGGTCACACTAAAAAAGGCATAACTTACGTTATACACATTGGATTGCTACGGTTTTGGTCTTGTTTTAAAGCTTAGAGACATAGCTACACTTTTATGTTTTGGTCTAAACCCAGTTCAATCCGTAAGATGCCCAAAATTCACTTAGAAAGTCACGGCTGTGACAGGGCAGATTTCACTTAGGCATTTCATCAAGCAACTTATGTGCATACAAATCTCTTCTTAACTACAACTCTCCTTCTCTTTTAACCATCCAAATGGGAGAAAAACTCCTCATATAATCATAATTCCTGCCAAGGAAAACACTCCAAAATATTCATACAAAACTCCTCCAACTCAACTCAATTTCACTCTCCATTACACATAAAAACACTTCTCATAATTAAGCATATCCAACAACTATGACTAAGCACAATCTCATCTCAATTTTTCAGTAAGTATAACATACTCATACATATATAAATCTCTACTAAATCTACTCAAAAGATTTCTCAAATCTAACTTGATTGGATTTACTTACCTTGTGCTTGAGTAGTCTCTCATAAGCTCCTACTCTTGTTGGATTCCAATCTTCTCTTAACCCTAATCATAAACTTCATAAGAATTCAACCTTTACACAAAAAAATCATAGATATAAGAGCTTGAATCCTTACCTTTTGATGCTTGAATCAAAACCCTATGAAATCTACTCAAAAGCCCTCAATTCCTTGGAGAAATGAAGAAAATTTGAGAGAAAAAAAGGAGGAGAAGTGTGGGGGGTGGAATGAACGAAAATAAGGGTTTCAAACCTTAACACAGTAATTTATAGCCACACTTTCCCATTTTGCCCTTGCACTTTCGCTAAAATTTCATCTATGTCCCTTAGTCATATACATAATGCCCTCATTTTTATTGCATTCTCCATGAAATTCTATCTCTTTTCACTCCCACAATTTCAACTAATTTGGTGAAAAGACCATTTTACCCTTAATGCAAGTTTAAGGGATTTTCTTCACATTTTTCTCAAAATAACTTCAACAAAATTCAACTAAGGGCCAACTAACCAAAAATAACAACACATGCAAGCTCAATTGAGAATAAATCAATAAACATTCAATAAATGCAACAATAATTTAACTACGTACCTCAAGTGGGGCGTTACAAACAAATACTAAATACAAACCAAACAAAAATAAGATAAAAAAAAAAAAACGAACAGACTAAGCACTTCCTAAACACCACACCAAACAACGAAATAAACCATCAACAATGCAACACAAACAAAACGCCCACTCCCCCAAACAAAGGATGCAATGTCCTCAGTGCATGAAAAACAAAAAAAAAAAAAAAAAAAAAAACGAAAAATGAGAGACAGAAACTTCCTGAAGTGAGAGGACAAAACTACTAGGAATTTGGGCTCATGAGGTGGTCAAATGTGGCTCCACGAATGAGCAGGCAGTCATTGACACTTGTGATGCTAGGCTTTAGGTTTTTTTTTTTTTTTTTTTTTTTTTTTACCACCGTTGTGTAAATTGACACGGGGTACCTGTGTGAAGGCTGGACTCTGCAAGCTTTTATCCTTTAACATGACCCTTTTATAAGGTGGATCGACCTCCAATCTTGCTACAATCTCAATAAGTGCTTATTCTCCCCTCCATCTTCTTTTGAATCAACCAAGCAGTTTCCAGTGGATCTTCATACCTATTATCTTGAAAATATCATGAACAAAGGACAAAAGCATCGATTCTAAAGTACGTGTTATCTTCTAAAAGGTGTTTCACAGTTTAAAAACATCAATTTTTACTTTTTCATCTCCTACCCTAAGAATTAGCTCACCTCTTTGCACATCAATCAATGCCTTACTTGTGGCTAAAAATGTCGTCCAAGAATGAGAGGTATATCAACATCTTCTTCCATATCCAACACAAGAAAATCTACAGGAAAAATAAACTTATCTACCTTGACAAGCACATCCTCCACAATACCTCTTGGATATTTAATTGATCTGTCAGCCAGCTGTAGAGATACTATGGTGGCCCTTGGTTCTCCAAGTCCTAATTTTCTGAAAATAGATAAAGGCATTAGATTAATGCTAGCACCTAAATCACATAAAGCTTTGGAAGATGAAAGTAAACCAATAATGCAAGGTATTGTAAAACTCCCTGGATCTTTTAATTTTGGTGGCAATTTATTTTGCAAAATTGTTGAACATTCTTCAGTGAGTTTTACTGTCTCTTGCTCTTCCAGTTTTCTCTTGTTGGAAAGAATCTCCTTCAAGAACTTTGCATAGCTAGGCATCTGAAGAAGAGCATCTGCAAATGGAATATTAATGTGCAATTTCTTAAAAATATCTAAAAATTTTGCAAATTGCTGATCAATTTTCTACTTCTTCAACGCCAGAGGGAAAGGAGGCTAAATCACTATCTTCTTAGGTTCAAACAACTTCTCAGCACTGCTGTCTGGTTGCACTTTAGGTGCTTCCTCTTTCGCTTGCTCTTTATGCCTAATTTCTTTACCATTCCTTAGTGTAATTGCCTTCATGCTCCTTTGGATTCTTCTCTGTGTCACTAGGCAATGTTCCTTGAGCTCTCCCTGATATCAAATTTGCCAATTGCCCCATCTGAGTCTCCAAATTTCTGATCGAAGCTTCTTGATTATGAAATCTTGCTTTAGTGGAGCTTACAAACTTTGTCACTAGTTCCTCCAAATTGGGCTTCTTTTCTTGAGGAAAACTCGGAGGTGGTGGTTTCATTGCATTTTGATTGCTCCATGAAAAATTGGGGTGATTCCGCCAACCAGGGTTGTAAGTACTGGAGTAGGGATTATCCTGTTGTTGCCTGTGAAAATTACCAACATAATTAGCACTTTCAATTGAATTAGCAAAAGGGTTACCTACTTGACATTCATTGCTAAGATGGTCTCCTCCATATAGATCATAACTCATGCTCTTCACTTGCATGATTGGGGCACTCATATTATCAATCTTTTTGTTCAATGCTTCCAATTGAGCAGAAATTGTTGTGATTGCATCCACTCCATATAATTCGCCTGTCTTCCTTTGTGGCTCTTTATCAGACTGTCATTGGTAACTATTTGAAGCCATCTCATCCAATAATTCGTACGTTGCTTCTGGTGTCTTCTTCATTATAGTGCCTCCTGAAGCTGCATCAATCATAGAACGGTTAGCAGGAATTAAACCATTATAAAAAGTTTGTACCTGTAACCAAATTGGTAATCCATGATGTGGGCATTTCCTCAACAACTCTCTGTAACGCTCCCATACTTCATATAATGACTCTCCATCTACCTGCATAAAATTAGTGATTACGCATCCTTGCAGTTTTAGAGGGAGGAAAATATTTAGCTAGAAAGCGCTGAGCCAATGCATCCCAAGTTGTAATAGATTCTGTAGGCAAAGAATTTAGCCAATTCTTGGCTTTATCTCTTAAGGAAAAAGAGAACAGTCTCAATCTAATTGCATCATCTGTGACACCATTCTGCTTGAATGTATCACATATATCCAAGAAATTTCCAATGTGAGCATTTGGATCCTCATGGGCTAAACCACTAAATTGGCAGGCTGACTGAATCATCTGAATGATCGTAGATTTAATTTCAAAGTTATTTGCTGCGATGGCTGGCCTCCTAATGCTAGAAGCAGTGCCACTCAATGACGGCATCACATAATCCATTAAAGAACGTGGGGCTGCATCTTCTTCGAGATTCTCCAAAAGTAGAGGATCCACTTGATTATTATTGTTGGCTGTCATATTCCTTGTTTGCCTTCTTCTCAATGCTCGTATTGTTCTCTCAATTTCTGGGTCAAAAGGTTCAAGAATCTCTAATCTTCGTCTATTGTGTGTCATCCACTGGAAAATTTGAAAACAAGAGAACTTGAAAAAAAAAAAACTTATATATGTATAAAAAAAGACCTAAAGTAAAGCTAAATTAATGATTTCAATATTGCCTAACTGCAATCCCCAGCAATGGCACCAAAAACTTCTTGTATCGTTTGCAACAACTACTAGCAAGTGTACTAGTCTCAAGTAATATAGTATAACAAGATACAGGTTATCGTACCCAAGGGATTGCGTAAACAAGTACTGAAATATTAATTAGTCTTAACTTTATCTAGATAATCAAAACTTAGAATGTTGATCCTTAAAACTGAAAATATTAAAATCTAGAATATCTGAACGAATTGCAGTAAAACTAAAATTAAGAATTCAATGAAAGAAAATGGCTAAGACTTCAGGCTCATCTATAACTTCTCTGTTCCCCTCAATTTACTATGGTCAATGAATTTATTTAATTAATGTGACAACGGGATTTCCTAGGTTAACCAATATTCTTTCTCAAGCAATATTAATTCTACTTCTATTTCATAACCTAGATATCTCTATATAGATTTAATGAAATAGACGAGCATTAAGCTTTATGAAATCCTCTAGCTTTCAGCACAAGTTAATCTTGCCTATGACTATTGCATGTATCAATTCATATATCTCTATATCCAATTAATCCATGGCCTATATTACTAGAGCACTCATGTGATATCTCCTCTCGGTCTCAATCACACAAAACAGTTCTATCAGAAATTGATCAAGTTCCTAATAGCATTAAGCACAAAATATAAACTCATCATTAGAAAAATAATTCACTAACCAAAGACTAAAATATTTGATCACAGATCCATAAATAGACTAACCCTAGTCTTAGCCTGAGAAAATTAGTTCACAATAAAAGAAACAAGAGTAGAATCCAAGAAATAAATCATATTGAAAAGTAAAAACAAACTCTTTGATGAATTTTGTTCTTGATTCTCCCTTCTCTTTTGTTACGCAATAATCTCTCTCCAAGAATGGGTAAAATTCGGCCTCCCAAGGAGTAATCTTAATCATCCTTAAATACCCAAAAGTGTCCTAAACAAAAAAGGAAAGAAAAACTAATAAAAACCCTAAAAGTGCCCGACACGGCCCAGGCCATGTCTAAAAGTACGTCACCACAGCCTAGGCCATGGTGTTTCCTGTCCTCGTTATTTTATCTTCATTCCACCACCACGGCCGTGGTAAACCACCAAGGCAAGGCCATGGCCTTCAAACTTGTCAACTAATCTCAATTTCTTCAAGCTTTGAATTCCAATTTCATTCCAATGCTCCAATCTACTCAATTGATGCCTGAAAATTACAAAAATTCTTCAAATCAATACCTGACCATTTATATTTCAAACTTAACAAAAACTAACATCAAAACACAGAAAACAAATGAGAAATTAACTAGAAGGCTATAAAACAAACCTAAAAACACTAAATTTATGCAACTTATCATATATGTATATGATATTCTTCTAACAGGTTCTAGTTCAACTTATATTGCTCAACTCATGCAAAGTTTAAATGATCAATTTGCTCTTAAGACTCTTGGATCTTTGCATTATTTTCTTGGCTTGGAGGCTACAAGGATTTGTAGTGGTATTCACTTGAAGCAAACCAAATATGCATCTGATCTCCTAGTTAGGACAAGAATGAATGTTGCTCATGCTCGCTCCACTCCCATGGCTGTAGGGACAAAGTCATTCTTAGCCAATAGCAATTTGTTTAAGCACCCTAGTCTGTACAGGAGCACTATAGGGGCCCTTTAGTACATTACCCTTACAAGACCTCATCTTAGCTTCCTTGTTAATAAGCTAAGTTAGTTTCTGTCTACCCCTACTGATCTTCAGCGGCAAGTATGTAAGAGAATTCTTTGATATGTAAAAAGGACACATGATTATGGATTGCTATGCTGATACCAATTGGGGTAGTAATTTAGAGGATATAAGATCAACTAGTGGCTATTGTATGTATATAGGCCCTAATTTGATCTAATGGACCTTAAGAAAATAGAGGGTTGTGGCTTTATCTTCCACCAAAGCTGAGTATACGACTTTAGCACAAACTGCCACAGAAGTGGCCTAGTTACAAAGTATGTTTGCTAAGTTGGGAGTTCCTGTCCACACCAAACCTATGATTTGGTGTGATAATGTTAGTGCATCAGCTTTGGCTTCTAATCCAGTGTTTCATGCACAAATCAAACACATCGAAATAGATACTCATTATATCCAAGAGCAAGTACTAGCCAACAAGGTTGTCATTCAATATGTACCCTCTAAACTTCAAATAGCTGATGTCTTAACTAAAGCATTGTTTGCTTCCCAATTTGCTGAACTAAAACAGAAATTAATAGTTGTGAGCAAAGCAAAGGTTAAAACTTAATAACCTGATCAGTTTGTGGTGTTTCAGTTCAATTGCACTTTGTTTTGTACTTTGAGTGGTACACAAAGGAGAAGCAGTTCAATTTATGCCTCATTTTAGATGCACAAAGGTGCAGGAGAAACATTTCAGTGTATGCCTCATTTTAGTTGCACAAAGGTGCAGTAGTTCAATTTAATTGCATTTTGATATTTTTTATTGATGCAAAAAAGAGCAGCAGCTCAACGGTATTTTAGTTTTTATTGTCTTTTTGTTATTTTGGTTGATGCAAAACGGAGCAACAACTCAGTGGTATTTTAGCTGCTCAGTGTTATTTTTTCTTGGAGCAATAGCTCAGTGAGTCATAACTCAAAGCAATTCAAATCAGTTTAATTGCATTTTGTTATTTTAGTTGATGCAAAAGTAGCTTAGTGTTTAATTGCTGAAGTTCATCTTTCCTTGCTGCAAAAAAATGCTGCAAAAGAACAATAGGACACTTCTATGTTGCTACAAACAGGCAAAAAAGCACTTTTCTGTTGCCTCATCTCAAACTTGTTCAGAATTTCTCCTACAGCCTTCTGGAGCTTATTTAAAGTGGAATATTAACCAGATTTGTTCAAAATTCCTCCCACAGCCTAATGGAGCTTACTTGAAGTGGAATATTAACCAAATTTGTTTAGAATTCCTCCCACAGCCTAATGGAGCTTGATTCGAGGGGGAATGTTGACTAATTGCTAAAAGACTGCAATTGTATTTGGCTTTGGTCAATAATGTGTCGTTTTAGAGTTAGTGCTGTGACATTTTCTAGAAACTACTTTACTCTTTCGTTTTGTTCATAAAAAACAAAGCTACTGATTATACTTTGTTTCCCAATGAAAGAAGATTCCACATATTGCATTACTCAAATTACTCTCTCAAATTCATCTTCTCGTTTGCTCTTTGTCATTTCCACACAGGGCTAGTTCATCTGGTGTTACTAAAACTACTGAATTGTAGAGAACTGAACTAAAAGATGGCCAGATCATTAATGTTATTGATACTTTTGGTATGGTAACTTGGATTTGATTGTACAGTTTACAACTTTTATCTTGTGTTTAAAATTTGTTCATCAAATAAACTAATGTGGTGAGTCATTGCTGGACTCTTTGATTTTTCTGCTGAATCTGAATTTGTTGGGAAAGAAATTGTCAAATGTATTAAATTGCCCAAGGATGGTATCCATGCAATCCTTGTAGTTTTCTCAGTGACAAACTGTTTTTCACAAGAAGAACAAGCTGCAGTACTTACGTTGTAGTCTTTGTTTGGAAGAAAAATTGTAGACTACATGATTGTAGTCTTCACGGGTGGGGATGCACTTGAAGAAAATGAAGAAACATTGGAAGAGTATTTGGGTCGCGAATGTCCCGATCCTTTAAAGGTTTCCTTTTTAACTTAAGTTTGGTTTATTAGTCATGTTGTTTAATTTCTTAAAGGTCTTTGTTTTGATTGATTTTATTTGTGAAGTTCTAGAGTCCTCTAAGGTTGGAACTCCCTGGACTATTATGGATCTATGACTTTATATAGGATTTAGCAATCCATTCTTGTCATTGAATCTATATTTTCCATAAATTGACTGGTTTGCTGGTGAGGGACCAGTATTTGCTACATAATTGCAGTTAGTGTTTGATGCGTTGAAATTACAACATGCAATGTGTAGCGAGTGTACTAGTCGCAAAAAAGTAATAAAGTAATATAGTTGTTTATCAAGTTGGAGAAATCGAAAGATGCTGAAATTACAACATGCAATGTGTAGCAAGTGCACTAGTCGCAAAAAAGTAATAAAGTGATAAGTAGAGTATCGTTCCCATGAGGATTGCTTGTTAAGCACTAATTTTCCTAGTTGTTTATCAGGTTGGAGAAACTAAAAGACGTTTGGATTTGCAGGAGAAATTTAAGCTAATGTGAAAACAAAATTTACTGCATACTTTAAAAACTAATTAATGACAGTAAGGTTAATTCAAGAGAAATATCAATTAAAACAAATGGTTAGGGTTTTGACTTCACTAGGATTTTATGAATTAATCTATGAATTATGTTACTTCTACACTCACATGCACAAATTATAAATCGGACT